TCCATCAAAACATTCACATTTATGATATTAACTAGCGGTCGCCCGCGACTCCGTCCGCACGGAATTAAAAACAAAAACTAGTCTATGTGTTCTTCCAAACTATGTTCTATATTTAAGTCAAATTTCAGTCAAATCCATAGCAGTTCTATAGATATCTTCAAACAAACATACATCTAAACATTCGCGTTTATAATATTAGTACGAGTAAGAAGAATATATTTTGTTCCAGATTGAAAAGTGTCGATTGCAAAACTGTCACCACAGTGTGTTGTGTACCTCAACAGGACTTAGGAACAAGGTATAGACAAGGAATATTTAATATACATTCCGATTTATTTCTCTTACGATGTAACTTAAGAAAAACATTCTTAAGTTACGTCGTAAGAGACTTACTTCATATAACAGTGGTAGAACCCGCTTCAAAATCTTTGCACGAATTGTCCCGGTTCGCCCGGTGAAATACCACGACCATACAGAAGACACGCCTCAAGTGGAAGCTATTCCGCGTACACTCTGATTAGTGTGCGTCCCGGAGGCCTAATTTAGTCCTCTTTCCCTTCCCACCCTTTTTCTCATAAGGAAAGGATGGGAAGTGGAAGTGGACTTTCCCGATGAGAGGATGCATGGAAAGGGAAATATTTACTTTCTATGCATCCTCTCCTCCGTCGATTAAAGGTAGGCAACGCATATGTAATTGCGTATGTCTATGGGCAACGGTCACTTCGCTATTTTAGCGATTTCATGTGGCCGCTCCTGGGTTCGAATCCCGCCATGTACCAATGTGTTTTTCCATTTCCGATTTACATATGTACATTTATCCGACGTTATTACGGTGAAGGAAAACATCGTGATGCTGCACATATCTGAGAAGATCAAAGATATGTGTGAAGTCAACCCGCACTGGGCTATGGTTGACTATGGCCTAATCACATAACTTAGGGTAGGCTCCGAGCCCCTCAGTGGGGATGTATAGCTGATGATGATTCATCCAAAACTAAAATATGAACGTTTATGTCCCCTCACTAATCTGACATTTGATTTTGTAACTAAACGTTTCACGACAAATGATTCTAACTGATAATGTCTAAAAGTAATGATTAAAAACTCAGGTCAGGGGATGGGACATGTGGTAAGAAGATATTAGACCACGTAATATCTGTAAAGGGTAAGAGACAAAGCAAGTCTACGGTACGTTCAGTACTTTATGGTGAGTATCCATGGAGGGCTTGGATATACAGGTACGTAAAATCATTATATCTCAACTTAAACACTATGTAATCCTAAGTGACTGTAACTATGACACTCAGGGGAAGAATACGAATCGAATGACACCTTAATCATCAAAATCTGTTCAGTACTTTATCATACAGGGTGTTATAAACTTTGTCATAAGTATACTGTCATGGAATCAAGATCTAAATTAATAGTCTATGTGTTCTTCCAGACTATCAAACAAACAACAAACATCCAAACGTACGCATTTATGTTAAACTAGCAGTCGCACGCGACTCCGTCGGTGTGGAATTAAAAAAAAATTAACTATTATAGTTCCCGACAAATGTACGATTTTTTTTCAACCTTCCTTAGACCTCGATAAGATTCAAGTTCAGCTGTTCAAGCAGCGAGACTAACATACAGCAATTTTATATGTATACAACACTATACCTCTGGATGTTTATAATCTTTGGTAAACATATCATAGAGTATGTTTTGCAGAAAGGAACAATATGGCGACAGCAAAGTATTATGCGCGGGAACTTTAGTCGGTGACAGGAATGAGGTTGTGATGACGTCAGCGAGTTGCCTGCAGGGCTTGTCACCTGCTGACATATCTGTCAGCTTTATCAAAGACAACAGTGACGTCATTGACGTACGTTCCATCATCACCCACCCTTCTTATAAACCAAGTAAGTTGTTAAAAGCAAATTCGATTTTTATTTAGCCTTCTCTAGCTGTTGTGATACATAAAAAACAAAAAAAAATCGTATTCGTAACAATTCAATTGCATATGCGTTGCCTACCTTTAATCGACGGAGAAGAGGATGCACAGAAAGAAAACATTTTGCCCTTTCCATGCATCATCTCTTCCGGAGAGTTCACTTCCACGTACCATCCTTTCCTTATAAGAAAAAGAGTGAAAGGGGAAAAGGACTAAATTAGGCCTCCAGGACGCACACTCATCAGACTGTACGCGGAATAGCATACACTGGAGGCCTGTCTTCTGTGTGGTCGTGGTATTTCACTGAGCGAGCCGGGACGATTAGTGCGGAGACTTGAAGCGGGCTCTACCACTGTTTCTGGCATTCCTAATAACCTCTTAACTCTTCCACTTCTTTGTCCTCCACATTTTCTTGTAAGACTTGGCACTCTATGTCTTTCATCACACCTTTTAAACTGGTTTAGATCTGGAACCATGTCTGCTTTCAGGTGAGAAACATGAACATGACGTCGCTTTGGTTGTGCTAAGTCGGGCACAGCGTGCTCCAGGCTGGACTGCTCCGGTCTGTCTGCCAGCATCACCACCAATGCCAGCCACCACATGTATTACAATATCTGACAACAATTCATATGTAAGTTACAATAATCGAATCTTCTTAAACACACACACAAGACAAGGCAAAGTAAATCTTTCAAATTTGTCGATTTAAGCAAGACACAATATTATAAAGGTACACAGCGCAGTTCAGGGGTTTCAACACTTGACTTGTAATCTCCAGGTCATGGGTTCGAATCCCATGTACCAATGTGTTTTTCCATTTCCGATTTACATATGTACATTTATCCTATGTTGTTAGTGTGAAGGAAAACATCGTGATGCTGCACATATACCTGCACTTGGCCTGTAGTTGACTATGACCTAGTCATGTAACTTAGGGTAGGCTCCGAGCTCAGTGGGGACGTATAGTGAGTTTGATGACACAGCGCGTGACATTTTTATTATCTTCAAAGTCAGTTGTCATTTTTTTGTCAAGATCAAAGAATAGTCGCTGCAATTTTTAAGATGGCGGAGCGGCAGTTGTCATGTACTCGCTATGCCTTTACTGGGGGTTAGACAAAGTGCACTTGCTGAGAAGCGAATCCATAATGAACTTCAGAAGTGTCAAACTGACAATTACTTTCGATTAATCACGTGTTTGTGGCGCCTCAGTTTAACGGTTGATCTGTCAGCAGTTCTTGGGTTCGAATCCCGTCATGTACCAATGTGTTTTACATATGTGAATCTTATGTTGTTAGTGTGAAGGAAAACATGTTGACGCTGCACATATCTGTGAATGTCAAAGATATGTGTGAAGTGACGCAATGGACCAGCATTCACTATCACCTAGTTAATTTAGGGTAGGCTCTGAGACCCTCAGTCAGGACTTACTGAGCTGATGATGATAATCCACAGATATCAACCGTTGTGCCGTTACCTAAGAAATGTGAGTCGTTCAACATACGATCCGCGTTAGGTCAGATATGCGCAGTTACACCTCTAGACGATTACGTACCGGAAAAGGGGGCTGCTTTGCTTTGTCAAGACGAGGTATGTAACATCAGGTTAAAAACTAAACTTTAATAGTGCTAGAGGCTAATATTTCTTGTTCTGGACCTTGTAAACTTCAATATCACACGACACAACAACATCAAAGACATTCCAACTACACTCTGATGAGTGTGTGTGCTAGAGGACTCATGTTACTCCTCTTTTCCTTTTTTTTGTGACTGAATTAGTCACTGTTTGCCTTGAAGAGGCATTTCCAGCTTCACCGGGCTTGAGGTGGCCGAGCGCAGACGACGCTTAGCCTGAACCTCCTTTTTTCTCTTTCCCTGCCCACCCTTAATTTAAAAAGAAAGGATTAGAAGTGTTTGACACTTTTAGTTAGAATCCTTTGTCGTGAATGACTTTCGTTACAAAGTCAAGTGACATGATTAGTAAGGAGACATAAATGTTGACATTTTTATAAGGCTAGTATTGCGCCGATACACCGGCACTGTCGGATTTTCCTTATAGAAAAGGGAAAGAGGATATTTCTCCTTTCCTTATAAGAAAAGTGTGGGAAGGAAAAGTGGAGTAAAATTATGGCTTCACCACATTCATCGGAGTGTAGTTGGATTAGCTTCCTACTTGTGTCGTGTGTTGTGATACTGCAGCTGACGAGGTCCAGATCAACAGTTCCTGATTACTGTTCCAAGATTACTGGTGTGCAAACTTCCGTTATCTGTTCGTAGCTTCGTCAGACCGATGAGGTATACTTCGCGGCAGGTATAGCGTTGACAACAAGTGAATCTGTGACCACGTACACCGCTGTACATCAATACTACGATTGGATTACTGACAGAGTGAACGAGATAGCTTCTAATTGAACTGTCAAGTAAAACCTAATGAAGATAGTACGATAAAATTTACTAAAAAGCAAATTTGTAGTACAACTAAGGGACCATACCCATACTACTTGACTTTTTTAGTTTTTTCGACTCCTCCCTCCACTCGGTGACCACTCGTAGTTCATCCCAAGACGCCCCCTTTTAGTTTTTACGTAGTAATTCATAATTATGATTTTTTTTTTAATCACAGGCAAAAATAAAAAACAAATGTTTTGGCTCATACTCGTCTTTATAGCATAAGACTGCATGCATACTTAAATTACTAGTGAATTATATAATATGAAAAATAACAAGTAACGAGTACGTGACTAAAATCTGTGCCCCCCTCCGCTCCTGTGACTGACTGTAGTATTTTAAAGAATCCGCCCCCCCCCCTTTACCCGGGTCATGTAGTATGGGTACGTTCCCTTATAGCAGTTTAGAAAATAATTGTGAAAAGAATCGATAAAAAATTATGTTTGTTTTGTAATAAATAATATCTTTGCATTTGTTTTTTATTGATCGACTAGCTGTCGCCCGCGATTCCGTCCCTACTGCAAAAATGTAATGAGTAGTCTATGTGTTCTTCCAGACTATGTTCTACATCTATGACAAATTATAGCAAGAGCCATGCAACCGTTCTGGAGATATCTTCTGACAAACATCCATCTAAACATTCGCATCTATATATTTAAAAGAAAGTGGTGTTAGTTACACTATTTATAACTCAAGAACGACTTTACCGATATGCCTGAAAATTGGTGAGGAGGTAGCTTAGAGCTAGGAGACGGACATAGGATACTATTTATTTATTTTACATTTAGATGGATGTGATGTGGATGGATGGATGTTTGAAGATATCTCAGAATGGCTGAACGGATCTCTATTAAATAAGGCATACGTATAGAACTAGCTTTTGCCCGTGACTCTGTGTTAGTAACCTATGTTTTCTTCTAGACTATTTTCTATAAATATACCAAATTTCATCAAGATCCGTTCAGCCGTTCTAGAGATCTTCAAACACCCATCCATCTATGCATTTATATAGATATCGCTGTCTCTTTTGCTGTCATAGAGTATGAAAGAGACATCATGTGTTATCACAACAGCGGAGTAGGTATGAGATCTAGTCAAATTATAAAATGTCTATATTCACAATTGATATGTAACATAAGATGATAATGGAAAGACCGCTGATAGCATATGTTCTCTCCTTGACCTTCTTATCTATAATTTGTTAAGCTCGTGCAATTATATTTATTACTAGCTGTTGTTCAAGACTTCGTCTACTGAAATACTGTCTTCGAGCTGCACGCGGTAACACACAGTACTTGGACATTGCAAGATAATTTATCTTAAATAAAAGATTTTGTCGAAAATAAACATATCCTAAGTTACTCCTTATTACATCAGCTATCTGCCAATAAAACTCCCGTAAAAATCGGTTCAGCCATTTCAGAGATTAGCCGGCACAAACAAACAGACAAAAATTGGAAAAATTTTGTGTAAATTTAGTAAAAAAACTTTTATTTCAATATAACAAACAGACATTCCAATTTTATTTATATATATAGATTATAATAAATATACGCATTTAAATATTGACAAAGTTATCTTTTTCAATATTAAAAACGTGTGATAAAATCCTTGTATCATCATCAGCTCACTATACATCCCCACTGAGGGTCTCGTTACCCTAAGTTAACTATGTCATAGTGAATGCTGGTTCAGTGCGTTTCACACATATATTTGACATTCACAGATATGTGCAGAAAAGAAAAAGTATGGAATGACTGTGTGAAAGAGGATATGCGTAAGAAGGGGGTAGACTCGGATATGACGGCTGATAGAGATGTATGGAGGAGTAGTACATGCTGTGCCGACCCTCGATAGGGATAAGGGCAGGTTGATGATTCACAGATATGTGCAGCATCACGATATTTTCATTCACACTAACATAGATGGATATTTGTTAGAAGGTATCTCCAGAACTGTTCAACGGATCTTAATGTAATTTGGCATAGATGTAGAACATAGAATGAAAGAACACATAGGTTACTAAGTTTTTTGAATATAAGTTTGGAAGAATACATACGCTACTTATATTTTTCAATTTATCATAAAAAAATTCCAAATTGATTAAGTCATCGGTTTGATGAAGTAGAAAAAAATATAAATCGTGCGAAGATGCAAGCAACAACTTGTTTATAATTATATGTTTAATTGTATTATAATATAAATTCAATGATTGCATTGGACTGGCTATAAGCCGTGATATTTTGTGCCTATTTGATTGTCGCCATATTGTCGTTGATCATAGCGCATTATCAATTTCCACACTAATAATAGAGATCATAGAATTAACTGTCAGTAATATATAGAGCCTAGCTCAGGGGTTGAGCACTTGACTTGCAATCTGCAGGTCCATGGTTCGAATCCCGTCATGTACCAATGTGTTACATATGTACATTTACCCTATGTTGTTAGTGTGAAGGAAAACATCGTGATGCTGCACATATCTGTGAATGTCAAAGATATGTGTGAAGTGATGCCCTGGACCAGCATTCACTATCACCTAGTTAACTTAGGGTAAGGAGACCCTCAGTTGGGTAGTATAGTGAGCTGAGGATGATTAAAACATTTCAACTAAAATTCCTGTCAAATCGACTCACAGTTCGCCTGTGTACAGCAAATCAGTGAACCGATTCACAGATCAGTTCATTTTGTACCTGCAAAGAGTTATCATTTGTCTATCGATCAAGTCACCGATCAGTTATCGTACACTAGATGCCCATGGCTTTGTCCGCGTAGAATTAAAAAAAAGTTAATAAGTAGCCTTTGTGTTCTTCCAGATTATGCTCTACATCTATGACAAATTTCATCAAGTTCTGATCAGTCATTCTGGAGATATCTTCAAACATCCATCTAGAAATTCCCATTTATAATATTAGTAAAATGTTAATGTTTGGATGCATGTTTGTTAAAAGGTATCTCCAGAAAGGCTCAACAGATCACGATGAAATTTGTCATATATGTAGAACATAGTCTGGAAGAACATACAGACTAAATTTTTAATTCCGGACAGACGAAGTTGCAGTCAACAGCTATGTATATTACGAATAAAATACAAGACAAATTAGTTAAAAAATCACGTTATTATTTAAATTAAAAGTCAAATAATAAATTGATCAAACGGGCGATCGCTAGTTAGGAAATAAAGCTGTATTTCCAAGCTATGACCTGTCCATTGGATATCTTTAGAGGTCAGTGATGTAATGTTTTTGAATAAAATAACAACATTGGTCAGTCTGTTGAGAGCTTTGTTTGATATCGGTGTATGAAACAGGCTCTCAAGGTCATATATTGTTTAATGACGTTACAGCTAAGTTACAAGGTAAGTTGTTTTTTTATATAACGTAAAAGATCTAAGGAATTTTTATTATTATTTTGCTATTCAAGTAAATAATAGCTGTCGCTTGTGACTCAGTCCGTGCGGAAATAAAAAAAACATAATTAGTAGTCTACGTGTTCTTCCAGATTATGTTCTATATGTATGTCAAATTTCATCAAGATCCGTTCAGCCGTTCTAGAGATATCTTCTAACAAACATCTAAACATTCGCATTTATAATATTAGTAAGATTAATAACAAGTAAGATAAATTAAATAACACTTCGTGCTTCCCATTTCATACTACTAATATTATAAATGCGAATGTTTACATGTATGTTTGTTAGATATCTCCGGAACGGCTCAAATTATTCATAGATGTAGAACATTCTGGAAGAACACATAGACTACAAATTAAGATTTTGTCGAAGACAACAGCTTATAAATCCCAACAGTAATTACGCATGATAGTTGTCAATAAATAAAAAAATGTAATTTATTAATTTTCAGATTATATAACATTGAATCAATCATAAAGAGATGAAAGCTGAAATATTGTTAATTCTAACAATTGCTACGATATTTGCATCGGGAGAAGGTACGTATTTAATTCTGGCTTTCCGTGAATACATTTCTATCGTTATCTCACGTTATGTCAAATAATCAGCCATTTTAAGATTGCATTTGACATTTCAAAATCTAACAAAATAACCTTAACGACTGTCATAAAATGTTAGTTAACTTTTTTAGGTTAGAATTACACAATTATAGTTTGTCTATTTAAGATAGATTAGTTTGATAATTCACTATATATGGGTTGATTAAAATCGATTAAGAATTTTTACGATTATCGATTGATAAATTAATTTGTTTCATTCTATTCCTACTTTATCCTTCATAACTACATAAAGAAATAAGACGTACAACTAAAAATTGCGATGTTAACGAACAATAACAGTTTATTTTAATTGTGCGATACCAAATAACTACAATAAATTCAAAAATTTATAAAATAACTAATTATAGTATACATTTGTTGCACTAATTTTAGTATAAGACCGATTCTCGATAGTTCGACACAAGACAACCGTCCATTAAGTACAACATTAATCGTTATACTAAATTAATTCCATATTTTATAGGCGTCAGTTTTCAAACTAATCTATCTTAAATAGACACACTATAGTTACCTTTTTTAAACAATTACATGTTTAATTATTCTAATTTTCGCTATCATAAATTTATATAAATACTAGCGGACCCGACAGACGTTGTCCTGTCTACACGTCTTTAATTTGAATAAATTAATATGAAGTTAATATTTGATGAAAATTGTGAATCTAAACCATTCCCAGATCCCCTTGAACATACACAAAAAAATTCATCAAAATCGCTCCAGTCGTTTGAGAGAAGTTCAGTGACATACACACTAACAGAAGAATTATATATATAAAGATCTCCGCTGTCGGCACCGACTAATTTCGAGTACAAGGGCCCTTAATTAGGGTGATGCATATAGTATAGGAGCTAGCGTTATCAAGAACGAATTTCAGGTCTGATTTTGTCTTCCTCTTTCGGATAGTATAGGCAGTCTAGCAGGCGGTCGTGGTTGCGTTCATTACTGCGCATCCTATCCACGTTCTTATCCTGGATTTTATAATCATTTTAAGACGCGTAATTTAAAAAAAAAATGTTTTTAAATAAGCCTAACTGACATACCTTTTTTATTGCCAGACAGGACGATGTGCCAGACGAGATTTTCTAAATCATTTTTTTTAATTTTAAAGTATTTTGGAATGTTTATTTGAAGATAATAAAAACTTAAAATTATTATTTTGAACTAGTCGGTGCCGACATCGGACGTCTGTCTGTTTTAGACGTTTATATATACGTTTTCAATTAAGATTGTGTTCGTAGTTTTTTGTTTGCTCTAAAGTTTTAAATTCATTTGATTTTGAAGTGTTTTTTTTTATAGTTTGTACAAAAAATGACAAAAGTGGCATTTGCAAACCACTGTCCGATTGTAAAACTGCGCTTGACGATTTCAGAAAATATAAAAGAAGACCTCAGGTAAGTAAATCTATTCAATCTTAGTGACGAAGAAAGCTCTATCTTACTAATATTATAAATGCGAATGTTTAGTTTGAATGTTTACTCTTCTTTCTCTTCTCACCTTTTTTCTTATAAGGAAAGGATGGGAAGTGGAAGTGGACTTTCCGGATGAGAGGATGCATGGAAAGGGAATATATTTTCATTTTGTGCATCCTCTCCTCCGTCGATTAAAGATAGGCAACGCATATGCAATTTTTATGTCTATGGACAGCGGTCACTTCGCTATTTCAGCGATTTCAGGTGACCGCTTGCTCGTTTGCCACCTTATGATATAAAAAAATAAATGCGAATGTTTAGATGTTTGTTAGAAGATATCTCCAGAATGGCTGCATGGATCTTGATGAAATTTGGAACACATATAGAATATAGTCTGGAAGAACATATAGGCTACTAATTAATATTTTTTAATCACTCGCAGACAGAGTCGCGGGCGACAGCTAGTATCTCATAATGTTTACAGTTTTGTTTTTACTTTACTAAGAAACTATTTACCTTTGAGATTGGTTTTTGGTACGGTAATTTCAATATCTAAACTAGCTTTAAACTGCCATTCCATCAGCAGACGTAGTAATAAGTAGTCTATGTGTTCTTCCAGACTATGTTCTACATCTATGACAAATTACAGCAAGATCTACGCAGTTGTTCTGGAGATACCTTCTAACATACATCTAAACATTCGCGTCTACATATATAAAAGAAAGTCGTGTTAGTTACACTATTTATAACTCAAGAACGTCTTTACCGATATGCCTGAAAATTGTTGAGGAGGTAGCTTAGAGCCAGGAGACGGTCATAGGGTACTATTTATTCATTTTTTTGTTCGAATTTATGCCTTGAAGAGCTGTTTTTTATTTAACATATCTATATATTAATTTTTTTTATCCACGCGGACGGAGTCGCGGGCGACAGCTAGTTTATAATATTAGTAAGATTTCTATAGTTTACTACATAAATTTATTATTATTTTAGATGTGTAAGGGGAATGATGGTAAAGTTTGTTGCGTCGAGAGAGTGAAATCCTATTCACACGATTCAAACACACCCCTTGGGTAAGTTAAATTCATCTTATGGTACTTAGTGGTCACCACTTAGAACCGAGCGGGAAGGGGGCATAAGCAGTGCCGCCAACTGGTGGCCCGTACATTTTGTAGTTGTCAGTAAGCTTGTGTGAGCTATGTGCCAAACAATTTCGTTTATTATTTACAAGAATTGAATCCATATTTATAAGTTAACTAGCGGACCCGACAGACGTTGTCCTGTCTACACGTCTTTAATTTGAATAAATTAATATGAAGTTAATATTTGATGAAAATTATGAATCTAAACCATTCCCAGATCCCGTTGAACACACACAAAAAATTTCATCAAAATCGCTCCAGTCGTTTGAGAGAAGTTCAGTGACATACACACGCACAGAAGAATAATATATATATAAAGATTTATTAATTTTATTTCAGGACAATGCCACCACCAGATCAGTCTCCGTGTGAACCGATAGCTAGGAATTTGACAGCCGAGAGAACAGGACGCAAATCATGGGATAGTAAGTTATAAAGCTTTGTTTATCTAGATTTAATCCTAACCCTTAAAAGTTAGACAAACGCTTAAACCTTTAAATTACTAAATGATATGTTTTTTGTTAAAATATTTTTTAATTTAATAAATTAGTAGGCTATGTGTTCTCCCAGATGGCTCAGTGGTCAAGCACTTGACTTGCAATCTGTAGATCCTGGCTTCGAATCCCGCCATGTAGCAATGTGTTACATACGTATACATTTATCTTATGTTGTTAGTGTGAAGGAAAACATCGTGATGCTGCACATATCTGAGAAGAAATTCAAAGATATGTGTGAAGTCAACCCGCACTTGGCGAGCGTGTTTGACTATGGCCTAATCACCCTTAACTTAGGGTAGGCTCCGAGCCCCTCGGTGGGGACGTATAGTGAGTTGACGATGATGTTCAAATTATAGGTCAAACAGCGATTTACAAAAAAAAAAAATTTTTCACTGAAATTTTAAAATTTTAAAAAAATCGAAAAAAAATGTGAAGGAATTCTTCCTAGGCCTTTTATTTGAATTGTTCTATGCTTAAAATTACTTCCATTAAATTTTTACGATAAATTTACGATAATAATATTATAGGAAAAAGTTTTTAAATATATTTTTCTTTTCAGAATGCTTGGAATATCAAGAAAAGTTGATATATCCTTGTAGAGTAAGTAACACACCTTTAGGAGGCAAGATACGATTGGATTTCTGTAATAGAAAACCTGACAGTTTGATTATTGGAGGTGAAGATGCTTACGAAGGTGAATTTCCTCATATGGTAAGTTCCACTAACGTTAAATTTAAAAATAGATAATAGATGGCGCTGTAAAAAAATAAAATTGCTCGTTACAATAATAAGGTATTTCTTACGACCATTAGCTTTTGGTATTTAAAAAATAAAGACGAAACGTGTTTTAATACAAGTGTTATTAGTAGGGAATTTTCTCATATGATAGGTTGTTTTAGGTTTTTAGTGTTACAAAGGAATTAGTTATAAAAATGGACAATAGATGGCGCTATTTTAAAATAAAAAATGACAATTATAACGATCGTTATTCCATCCATCTCTTTCATTGTATTTCAATAATTAGAAACAAAAACATATTTTAATAAAAGTATTATTATTTAGTTTTCAATGCAAATATTTGCGTGCTGCTACGATTGTGTTTATTAAACAGAAAAATTGAAATGTTTCCCAATTTCAAAACTAGATGGCGCTGTTCTCTATTTAGTGCATTATTTATACTCTAGGTTCTTCTTGGCTTCGGTAACGTTACATCAGAGAGCAGTTGGGGCTGCGGGGGAGTCCTGGTCAGCGAGAGGTTCATCCTCACAGCGGGACATTGCATCTCCAGCAAGGAATTGTAAGTGGTACATTGGTCCCGGAACACGGAGATCGCTCCCAGAGATCTCCAGCAAATGAGTCTCCCAACAAGTCGACCCTCACGCAAAATCTTCCTTAGTCGTAAATTTGGAAATCTCTAATGTTAATTGGAATAATCAAGATGCTAGTAATAGATTACCCGCCTTAAGAACAATCTAATGTTCTGAATATTTACCAAACATTTCATCATCTTCCGAACATTTCAGTGGTCCGGTGACAGATGCGAAGGTCGGCATCCTGGAGAGATCAGCGGAAGTGGACAGCACGCGGCGGTACAAGATCAAACGGATCATCAAACACCCCGACTATCAAGCACCTAGCAAATATAATGACATCGCCCTTCTGGAGACAGATAGAGAGTTGAGTAATTTAACTTTTTTCCATAAAGACACAGAGCTGGGTGTTTTATTTCCGGCGCCCTGAGTGAGCTTTTTATTGCGCTCCTTTTTTAGTATTAAGGGAAATCTTCCAAAGATATTGTATCTGAGAAGGCACCGTAGGCGCCCTTTTATACACAATTAAGGCGCCCCTTACGCACGGCGCCCTTTTATTCTAAATTAAGGCGCCCCTTACGCACGGCGCCCTTTTATACTCAATTAAGGCGCCCGTTACGCACGGCGCCCTTTAATACACAACTATGGCGCCTCTTGCGCACGGCGCCCTGGGCGATCGCCCCGCTTCGCTCTATCGTAACGCCGCCACTGAATAGACGGAATATTACGAATGAAATTTTACGCTTAAAAATATATACAGTTCTGTTTGTTTAGTTTGACAATTCTTACAAAGCAGTACTTACTGACGTGACGGTTATTTTTAAAATATTTCAAGGAAATTTTCAATAACATCTACTTAATAAATTGACTGATATCATAATTTATCGGTTACATTAGGTTAAGAGTGGCTCAGGGGTTAAGTACTTAACTTGTCAGCAGCTCCTGGGTTCTCCCAACATACCAATGTGTTACATATGTACATTTATCTTATGTTGTTAGTGTGAAGGAAAACATCGTGATGCTGCACATATCTGAGAATGTCAAAGATATGTGTGAAGTGATGCACTGGACCAGCATTCACTATCACATAGTTACATCACTTAGGGTAGGGTTTCAGACCTTCAGTGGGGACCTATAATGATTAATGTATTAGGATAACGCTGGACAACTTGGCAGTACCCGCGTGTTTGTACGACGGTCACCCGATCAACGATAGCAGCGCGATAGTTACAGGATGGGGTACTACTGTTTTCAGATACAATAAAATATCTAATATTC